TGACTCTGTTCTGTACTTTATTTTAGTGTCTACCTTGAAGTTTGTATTTAGAATCTCGTGTATAATATAGTCTATTCTCTGGTGGTCTCTTACTTACTCGACCAATACTGATTTAGACCCTTTGCTCTTCCCCTCCTAAATAATTATTTTCATTTTTTATTCCAACTCGTCTTATTAATTTGTAGTTAGAGTGCTAAGATCATCCTTGTTTTGGTAGTTTCCTTATTTTTACCCTAATGCTATAGCTGAATATTTGCTATCCTGTTCTGGTTCTATCCATCGGTCTCCCTAGTCTGTGGCTTGTGTCCCCTTTCTCCCTTTTTTCTTTTTTCAAGTATGAGAGCCTTCTTGAGGATTTCTTGTAATGGAGGGCTTTTAGTTACAAATTCCCTTAACTTTTGTTTGTCTGGAAAAGATTTAATTTCTCCCTCATATCTGAAGGAAATTCTTGCTGGATAGAGTATTCTTGGCTGAAGGTTTTTATCCTTTAAAGCTTTGAATATATCATTCCATTCTCTCCTAGCTTGTAGGGTTTCTGTAGAGAAATCCGCTGACAGTCTGATAGGGGCTCCTTTATAGGTTATTCTCTTTTTTTTCCTTACTTCCCTGAGTATTCTTTCCTTATCATTCCTATTTGCCAACTTTACTCTTATGTGCCTTGTGGTGGGTCTTTTTACATTGACAAATCTAGGAGATCTAAAACCCTCCTCTACACACATTTCTCTGTTGATCCCTAGATTTGGGAAGTTCTCTTCAATAATTTCGTTAAGCACACTTTCTGCTCCATTTTCCTTTTCCATATTCTCGGGAATTCCTATGATCCTTATGTTCTTACTCCTCATTGAATCCATTATCTCTTGGAGATTTTCCTCATTTTTTTTAATTCTTAGTTCTCTTTCTTCCTCTGTCTGGCACCATTCAGCCTGTCTGTCCTCGATTATGCTGATTTGCTCCTCTAGGTTGTCTACACGGGCATTCAGGGAATCCATATTCTGTTTTATCTGGTCCATTGTGTTTTTCATCTCAAGCAATTCTGTTTGATTCTTCTTTATGATTTCAATTTCTTTTGTGAAGTAACTCTAGAACTCGGCTTGTTTCTCTATCTTTCTCTCTACCTCATTGAGTTTTTTGATTATAGCTGCTCTGAATTTATTATCACTTAGTTTACCTAATTCCAAGTCCTCAGGACTTAATTCTGTGTTTTTATTGTTTTCCTTCTGGTCTGGGGCTTTTATAAATTGCTGGATGGTAGAGGAGCGGTTTTTTCTCATGGTGGTAGAATTCAGTTACAGTTACAGCCTGTCGCCACTAGATGGGGGTCGAGAGCGGCGTGTTAGCTCTCCACCTTCAGGGCAAGATGGCTGCGCCCACTGGCTTTGCTGTGGGGGAGGGGCTGTTACTCACACGCGCCGGTCTGGGTTCAGATCAGTTCTGTTCTCTGGTCTCCCAAGGCCCTTGATTTATAGGGTCCCCGCGGACGGAAGCTTTCCCCCATCAGCGGGTCTCCACTGAACCAGCGGCAGGAGTCCTGGATGATCCCCGGTCGCGCGGCCCCTCCCCCGCTCCTTCCCGACCCCCGCCGCAGCGATCGCAGACTCTAGGGGAGGGAGCGATGTTCTCTCCTACCGTTCCAGCGCCTCCGAGGGTGTAAGCAAGGTTATGATCTCCACCTTCTTGGTATTGTAGGTCTCTAACGAGCTGGCATTATGTTTATTCTCTGAAATTCAGTTCTTCCAATCTTTTGTTGTATTTTGGAGGGGAGAGAATCCCGGGTCAGCTCACCCTGCCATTTTGCTCCACCCTTCCTCCACCTTTTCTTATTCTTAATGGTATCTTTGGATAAGCAGAAGTTTTCAATTTTGATGAAGTCCAACTTACTAAGTTTTTCTTTTATAATTCATGCTTTGTGTGTCCTATGTAACAAATTTTTGCCTACCATCAATTTGCAAAGATACATTCCTGTGTTTTCTTCTAGAAGCTTTACAGTTTTAGCCTTAACTTTTAGCTTTGTGATCCAACTCGAATTATTTTTTGTGGATGGTGTGAAGTAGGAGTGGAAGTTTGTTTTTTCCATGTTTTCTCTGCCTATTTTTAGGTCTTTCCAGAACTCATTCTGTTTCTCTCCTTTCTCACATTTCTACTTCTTGTCTTGGCCCCGTTGCTGCCTCTACCCTACAAAATATTTGTGCATCCTTGATTCTGAGGGCGTCTCTCTCCTTGGCTACTCTTGTCACCTTGTGTTTCTGCCTTTCCCTTCCATCTCTTTCGCCTTTTTCAGTCTAGTTTTTCCCTTCTGGCTCTCTCTATACCTATGCTATTCCAGTGTCCTACCCTCTCTATTTGTGTTTTTTTTCCCATTTCCCCTTTGCCATGGAACCCAGACACTTTTTCTTGGTAAATAAATGTCTCCTTGCCTCAAGCTCTGGTCTACTCCTCTGCCCTTATTCCTGGCTTCCTGGGGCCTCCTTTCTGAACTACAAACACATGACACAGCCCTTTTCTCTCTGAATGTGCTACAGTCACTCAAAGTCATCCAGGCAAATGCCGGACTGTCAGTCAACCTTACCTGCTTGTTAAGATTCGTGGGCACATTCATTTGTCATTTTCTGGGTTTTTATTGTACCATGTGGGTCACAAAATGAATCTTCTTCCCTTATACTCTTCTGCTGTCCATCACTGAGATGCGCTGCGATTCTATCTCTAGGTAGGCTGTCGTCTAGATCACATTAGAAAGGTTGTAGAATTTCTTCCCCTTCCCTTCATGATGACCTTCTTTTACTTTTTACTAATAACTGTTATTAATCCTTCCACCACCCCATTCTCATTCTCACTACCCTCAATAGTAGATCAATCTCCAAATATATTTTTTATAGCCTCTGTACGTTTTGTGTGTGTGTGAGGAAGATTAGCTCTGAGCTAACATCTGTGCCAATCTTCCTCTATTTTTTGTATGTAGGATGCCTCCACAGCATGGCCAATGAGCAGAGTAGGTCTGTGCCCAGGATCTGAACCCGTGAACCCAGGCCACTGAAGTGGAACGTGCGGAACTTTAACGACTGGGCCACAGGGTCGGCTCCCACTTTTGTACTTTTTTTTACTGACGTATAATTGATACGTAACATTATATTAGTTTCAGGCGTACAACATAATGACTTGATATTTGTATACATTGTGAAATGATCACCACAAGTCTGGTTAATATCCATCATACATAGTTAAACATTTTTTTCTTGTAATGAGAACTGTTAAGATTTACTCTCTTAGCAACTTTCCAATACCTAACACAGTATTATTAACTACAGTCACCATACTGTACATTACATGCCTATGACTTATTTATTTTATAACTAGAAGTTTCTACCTCTTGACCCCCCTACTTTGTACTTTTTAACGTACATTTTATACTTTTAGCAATTTGTCTTTATTCAAAACAATAAGTATGATTGTTAAAATAGATCCAAATGTTATACAAATGTAGTAATACATTTTTAAAATATGGAACACCTGAGCTATAAATGCAAATTAAAGGACACCCATTCATAGCATTCTACAAGACTGGCTGTATTCTTATAGTTTTTCTTACCTTGGTCATTTCCAAGGAAAAAATGTCAATATTTAACAAGTAAATAAATTTATTATAAACCATTTGGCTTAAGGATGGAGACCTTTTCTTGAGCTTAAAGACTGTTTCACTCACTGCTACTCTAATCTAGGAAATAACTTTCTTTTCAGTGGGTGTCTGAGGAGCAAAATTGAAAAACTTAGAGCATTGACTAAATGTTTAGTTATTGGAGTCAGATAGCATTATAATAATAGTCGTAAGCAGCAATTACTTTCCATCAGAATTATTGTAAGTGCTTCACATAAATTAAATCATTTAATTCTCATAACAACCCTATTTTAGATATAGATATGAATATAGATTTGTAGATGAGGGGATTAAAACACAGAAATTAAGTAACTTGCCCAAGCAAGCAAGTGGTGGAGCCAAGACTTGAAACCCAGCAAGGAGGCCTCAGAATCTTTGCTCTTTGCTGGTATGCAAGAGAGGGTATGAGTCCCAGATAGGCCAAGTCCTAGTTGTGTAACCTTTCACAACTCACTAACTATTCTCAAACCTCAGTTTCTTCTCCTGAAAAATAGGAATAACAAAACCCTTATGATAGAATTGATACAAAGATTAAGTAAGATGCTACTTGTAAAGTGATATCTGGGTTATAGTAACTGAGGAGGAATTCATAATTTTCAGGATTAATGTCTTACGTGTTGTAGTGTAATAATTAGTTATTAGTAATAATATGAAATGAGAAGATGATTGAAAAGCTAGAAATAGTGGTTATTGGTTACAAATGGACATAGTTCATATATGAGCATTAAAGACACTGATCCATGTGAAGTGATGACGTTGTGCTTGGTGGTCCATGAAAGCAGTTGTTACTATGTTATTGTTAGTCTTATTACTGCCCTCGATTCTATTCTCTCGTCTCTTATTTACTTTCCTTTTTCTCTCTTTTCTACACAGCACTACCCCTTCCACATTCTCTTCTACACACAATTACTGCTTACTCTCTTCTTATCTTTTATTGTGAGTAATATTTACATCAGTCCCTTCTTTGGACAAACCAAAGCCTCCCTCTTTGGACTTGGACTTGTCACATAGGACCAAACCTTTACTCCTTCCCAGATCCACTGAATTCCTAACTCAAAATTACTGCAGTCAGCTCTTCCCCTTAATTCTGGCTCATGGTCACACTGAGATCTTCCCTGTTGGGTTCATGTTCCATCTTCTTAGTTGTCATATATGCCTGGCAATATTCTTGGATTTCACATCCAGTTGGTTCATTGGGAACCCATACAACACACCCCTGCTCTGGCTTCCTCAAGTCCTTCTGCATCCCTTCCCCAGGACATACTTATCACTCAGGAGCTCAGTCTCTTGATCTCTGATCTCCTTTCCTCTTAGCAGAAGAGAAAACAAGTTTCTATCAAGTCATCATTACCTTGTTCAAGGTTTAATTGGAAGTTGAGCATCCCCTTTGTCTCTTCTTCATCAATAATTTGGTATTGAAAGTTGTCACGTATCACTGAGAAGAGAAAGTAAAAGGCAATTAGAGATCTCAGGCAGTGACCAGGAGTTGCATCTCACAATTACACATCCAGACACATCTTTGACTCTGGTAGTTCAAAGGGAATCTTCCAGCCCTCAGGGAACCCTGGGCTTCAGTGGGTCTCATGTAGCCTGTGAATTGATGTTGCTCCTGGAATCCTATAGCTGTTCCACATAGAGATGCACCTTTCAAGATTTAAAAAACGAAGGATACGAGAAACATTGTCAACAGTGCTTAACCCCCTTCAAACTGATCAGAGAATAGTGAAAAACAATTTAAAATAAATAATACGTGTGGAATGTGTTTTGTAAATTCTGCATGCAAGCAGAGATAGGGAAGAAGCAGAGGGATTTCTTCAGGAGAAAGGCAATGTTTATAGAGAAATAGACCTTCATAAGAAAAAATGAAAGCCCCAACATCTTTTAAGCATGGAGATTTTAAAAGAAAAAGAAGAAAGAGAGAGAGAAAGAAAGAAAGAAAAAAAGAAAAAAGGAAGGGGATCTTTGGTCTATTGTGTCAGGGAAGATGATCTGGTTACAGAGATAGACATTAAAGAGGAACAAATGCTTCCCGCGGTGAGTGGGTGGTGAGAGAAACAAAGAAAAGACACTCTGAAAGGCACAAACAGGAAGTGAATCTCACAGTTGTACCAGTGACCCAGAAGTGGTAACAAGAAAAGTGCAGGAAAGCAGCCCAGGGCACCCCAGCTTGAGAGCTACATTCCAAAGTGACTCAGCAAACATAGATGGAAAAGCAAATCTCCTAAGACATGAGGAAAAACACCCAAGAAATATAGAAAGATGCCAGGCAAGAAGGATAGGTGATGGTGGCACACCTCCTGGGGGCAAGACCCACTGAGGGATCCAACAGTAGGGAAGGGGTGAAGGTAGAGAGAATCTATGGGGATGAGAGATGTTTTTCTCATGAAGACGTTGACTTCATGTCCAGGCAAAGTCTGGAGGAGGACATGGGGGAGTAAATACTGTATGAGTCAGATCTAGAGAACGTAAGGAGGCTCCCAAGCACAGACATTTCAATGAAGGTTTGGGCACATCACTTTCTTGTCAGCTTCTTGGCTTTGGACCTCTGACTCTCAGCTCCTGTGGACAGCAGGGTTCAGGAGGCGCCAGCAGCTGCACTGGGCCAGGCAGCAGGCAGTGCAGCTCCTGGGCGGTGGCAAGACTCAAATGTGGGTCACCCCAGCTCAGGGAGCTCTGGAAACTAACACATGTGATGTGGGTGCTGTGGCCTGGGGAGGGGGATCCTCACGGTCCACGGAGAGAATCAGAGTTCCTGAGATGTGGGCAGTAAAGCTAACCGCCATTCCCTTCATATCTATGGCCTGAGGACGTCCTGGTTACAAATATAATATTGACTTGAAATTTGTGACCAGTATCTGACTTTGTCATTTCTCTTACTTGGATATATCATAATGTGGAAATGAGATAATCATATATACAGATATATCCAAGATATCCATATATCTCATAATCATGAGAAAAACATAATAAATGTATGGTCTTCACAAATCAACACATCTCATTGTTCGTACTGACTTCTTTCACTTTTTCTCTGCTTAAAAATCCTTGATTGCCTCTTTATTTCCCAAGTAATAAACTTCAAATTCCTTGGCACAAGAGTCTTAGACCCTCAAAATTCCCTCCAACTTGCCTCTCCAGAATTAGTTTTCAAATACTCCCTCCCATGCTCTATTCTCAGCCACATCATTCTGCAGTTCCACCGTTCCTTTCACACTTTGTAGCTTTCACATGCTGTCCTCTCCCCATTGCATGAGTATGTGCTCAGCTTTTCTTGTGACTTCTCCATTCTTTGTTTGGAAAAGTAAGTTGGCACAGGACTGCACTGAATGACGTTTTCTAATACAAAGAAAAGTTTTTCATTTTTGAACATGTCTGCAAGTATCAGAGTGGGCTTCCTCCTTTCCTGCAAAAGGGGCATAGTTCATACTTTTCCCCAAAATATGGAAATCCTATGTTTTGCAGAACCAAATTCCGGTCCTGGCTGAGCAATCATTTGTGGGATTACTGGCTTAACGTTTGTCCCCCGGCTATGTGTAAGCTCCACAAAGACACAGGTTATGCGTGTTTTCTTCACCATGGTATTCTCTCTGTGCCTGCCACAGAGTGGTCATTCAATAAAATAATTGTCAAATATTAATGAAAAGGGAATGAAAGAATCAGTAAACGAAATGGACTTGAATCCCCCAAAAGTTGTTGAAAGCTATAGTTACCATCTTGGAAGTTTCTTAAAATCTCAATTAAATCAGGATAGGCCTTCAGGTTAACCTTGCTGAATAGGGCATCCAGAACTTTCTTGTCAAACTTCTTCTCCAGTTCACTGAGAACATCATATACCACTCTCTCCACCGGGACCAGATTTCTACAAGCTTCTCGAAAATCCTTTAAAATATTGAATGGAGAATTAGGTAGCTATGGATTTACAGGTTATAGAAGACTCAGATTGTAGATAGATCATTTGTTCTCTTCTGAAATGTTAGAATGTTACATATATTCTGATTACTTCTTAAATAGCCTCCGCCATAAAAACAGATTCTTATTTTGTGAAGCTGACTCTCTGACATTGATGTACACTTGAGAGAGCAACTTTGAAGAATAAAATTGGGTTCAGAGTTGAATGTTGTGTGGGGGCTTTAAGAGCCTGGCCAGGATGCCTTAAGAGTGGTCCTGACTGGTATGAGGGGCCATTTTGTTGACTAGATGATAATCACTGGCCTCCTGCCTGAAGGGCTCCAGGAAACCAGGCGTTCACCCTCCCCTGTTGTAGACCTGGCCAAAGGGCAAAGAAAGTCCACAAAAACAAAGAGAAACCTTGTCCTCAGCATCCCCAGGAAGACCTCCCACTAAACTTTACCTGCATTCCAGGGCTTCAGAAATGTCTAAAGAACAAGAAACAATTTGGAGAGAGAGCAGCAAGCATCTGCTTCCAAATTTATCCTAACGTGGCACAACTTCTCTATGAGTTTCAATAATCTCAGGCTCAAGTGTATAAAATGAGAGGGCTTTGTAATGGAATGTAGCCTGGCTCACTTATTTACTTTATTGATTTATTTTTCTAAGATTGGCCCTGAGCTAAAATCTGTTGCCAATTTCTCCTCTCCCTCCTCCTCCCCCTCCCCTCCCCCTCCTCTTCCTTCTTCTTCTCCCCAAAGCCCCGCAGTACATAGTTGTATATTCTAGTTACAGGTCCTTCTAGTTCTGCTATGTGGGATGCTGCCTCTGCATGGCCTGATGAGCAGTGCTAGGTCTGGGCCCAGGATCCAAACCAGCGAAACTCTGGGCCGCCGAAGCAGAGTGTGTGAAATTAACCACTTGGCCACAGGGCCAGCCCCTTATTTACTTTATTTTTAGTTGTTGTTATTATATTGTATTATGTACCTAAGATGTTCTGTACCTATGTAGTATTCCCATTTCCAATCCTGCCACATCTCCATCACCATGGCCCTCCACCAACATCTACTCCAGAAGAAGGAATGTTTTCTGCGATGCCACTTCTCCTGTCAGCCACTAACTTGTAGGAGGTGAAGGTCCCCACTCACTGGAGGCCCTTTAGCCTATTTATGGCATCCTGAAGTTGGCACAATATAGCATGGGGCTGGTTAGCATGAGGAAATTCCCCTCACTTACTTCATACATCTGCTCAGGGATGAAGCCGCGGTCCCGGAGGCCCATAAGGAGAGGAAATGGCTTCGTTATTGCGCTTGCAATCTCCACCTTATTTTCTTTGAATAGCCTGAAAATGAGCTCAGAGAAAAACTGCTCCACAGAGTTCTGGTCCTCTGGATTCTGGTCGCCTGGGAACATCCTGAGAAACAAAGATATGTTATGAAAGTAGACGTTGAGTTTCCAAGAGGCTTGTGTTGGCTGGAAGATTTTACACATGAAAGATCGTCAGTGGAGAACCAACATGTAAAATAGTGGTCTCGTGGAAGGACCAGAATAAATATAATTTATTTACTTAGAGAATAATCAGGGGTACAATAGGAGAAAACATTGAGCTTAAGAAAGACTTGTACATAGAAGAGAAAGAGCTCACCCTGTGCTAATCAAAACTACTATAAAAAGATTTTCACCTGAACCCTCTAGGGAAAACACTGAATTTAAAAATGTTAAAATCTTCACAGGAATTGATATGATATTGGGACGGTTCATTTTATGTGTCAACTGGGAAGGTGTTTTGGGGTGAGATTAACATTTAAATTGGTAAACTTTGAGTTATCAGTTTGTCCACCATAATGTGGGTGGGCCTCATCCAATCCGTTGAAGGCCTAAATAGAACAAAAGACCAGCCTCCCTGAGTAAGAAGGAATTCTCCAGCAGACTGCTTTTAGACTGGAACTGCACCATTGGCTCTGTTGGGTCTCCAGTCTGCTGGCCCACCCTGCCACACCACAGATTTTGGACTTGCCAGTCTCCATAACTGTGGGAACCAATTTCTTGTAATCTCTCTCTCTCTCTCTCTCTATATGATATATATAACCAATAGGATATATATAACACATATCCTATTGGTTTTGTTTCTCTGGAGAAACCTAATACAGATTTTTTTGTTTTAAAGTTTATAGACAAAGAGATAAAAAATCAGCTGAGATAATATTATGGAACCTACCACTGAACCGCAAGCCTTCTTGGTTAATAACAACTAGAAGAAATCTCAGGAAGATGTAAAAGAGATAGACCTCTCCCATCTGTAACTGCAGAGGCAGGAATGGCATTCCACATTATAAAATTAGCTCCAGGACTCTCCTCTGGTAAGGTTTCAATTAATGATAGTCAGAAGAATATGTCTTTTTTTGGGTCTAATATAGAGACTTGTGTGAATATTCCAAACTAGAACACATTGTTCTGTATCTAACCTGGACTGTGGAAGTGTTATTTACATGGAGGCCTGTAAGACCCTTGGATTTCAAATATTATGGCCATGCCTGGGAAAAGTAATTTTTAAACTCAAAAAGCTTTGTAATTCTGAGTCTTACTTGATAAATTGTTCCCCTTGCTGATAATGTCTTGGTAAGCTTCTTTATATTTATAAAAGATATAAAGACTTGTAGGGCTTTTTCATCCCACCATAAGAGGGTCATTGGGACTTCCCATTTTCTAAATATGCATTGGGATAGAATCAAACCCATTTGTTCACTGAATCCCTGTAAAGAATAGAAAGCCTTCTGGTTAAAGATAGTTGATTGAAGACAAGTGTTTTCATCCTCTCACTAGAGAGTACCCTAAAATGATAGTAAACGAATTAAAGTCACAATGTCAAAGAGAAGTGGATTGGATGAGAAATTTAAACCAAAGTCTGAAAGAGAAAAAGTGGTAACAGTGCTAATTGCTATTGCTGGTGGAAGGTGCTCCCAGACTCCCAAAAGGGTCCAGTGTGTCTTGCAGGCCCCTGGAGAGGTCATGGAGGTTGGGAGGGAGACGCAAGGTTGAAGACAGAAGGCTTGTTTGAAAGGCGAAATACAAAACAATCTCTTCCCCAACTCCTCCGTGACCCCACCACACAGAACACCTGCATCCAGGCAGGAGACTAGAAGTTTCTTCTTAAGGAAAATGTATATGACTCAGAAAAAAGACCTTCACCTTCAGGAATCCTAGATTCTCTTGGCAAAGCCTACAGCTCATCCCATTAAATGGAGATCCAAGCTAGCTTTTCAGTGCCTCGCTCTTAAGCATGAACAAACAATAACAGGCCACAGATATTTGTGGAAAGCTACAAGATGAAGGAGTGGAACCAAGATGAGCAAAGAGCAAAAATGACTCCAGCATCAATAGAAATATTATGGAGAACAGAAGAGAGTTTCTGAAAGACAAATGTCATACAGATAGGAGAATATACTGCGCCCAGGATGCCATGAAGAAAAGACCAGAAAATAAGACAGTGAGGCTGGGAATTAAAAGTGATTGCTGAAATTAACAGCAAAAAAAAGAAAGGTTAACTAAAATAGTTGTAAAATAAAGGAGAGAGAATTTCCCCAGAACATAGCTGGAAAAACTCTAAAGGAAAAAACAGAAAGTAAATTTGAAACCCTAAATGTCTAAAATGGTTATGCAAGTCTATAGCTCCAGAGGTAAAAAGAAGTAACCAAAAAATGTACACCCTCTTCAGTTATTCATTATTCAATTATTCATATGTGAAGGCAAAATAGTTGTGTAAGTGCTCAGAAAATACATTCCACTCATGCACCCTCTGTGTTGGCCACACAATTTTCAATGTTCAATCTTCTTTACTTCTGTCTCCTTGGGCTAAGGTGTATGGCTTTAGCAGAATTTAGAGATAGCACATGGTTAGCCATGCTCACTGTCCCTCTGCTACAGAGGCTGTCATTTCAGATGGTGACTGCTCATCAGCCAGAGACAGAGTCCAGGGTGATGGTTCCCTGAAGCAGAGGCTAGTGACCCACTGAGATTTTGGAAGTGTTTGTTCCAATAGGATATTCTACCCCATTCTTACTGACATACTCTCTGGGACAAATTATTTGATGATGTACTAGAAAAAGAGAATCAAGAAATCAATACTAGCAAAGTTCTGCTATAAAAGCAGTAGAAAGCATCACTAAAGCCAGTTAAAATATTGAAGTCCAGAAACTGTAAACTTTATTTTAAAACAAAAGTACATCTCGAAAATTACTTTAAAACAGTGATTCTCAAAGCGTAGGCCAAGGACCCTTGGGATTATGCAAAACCCTTTCAGGTGGCATCAAAGTCAAAACAGTTTTCATAATGATACTAACATGTTATTTATTCTTTTTCTCTCTCATCCTCTCACAAGCATATAGTGGGATTTTCCAAAGAATTATGGCCTGTGGTATCACAACAGATCGAATGCAGAGGCAGATAGGAGAATCTGGCTGTCTTCTACTGAACCAGCTATAAAAAGGTTTGAAAAAAACTGTGAAACATTGCTAATCCTCTTGCTAATTTATTTTATTTTGAAAAACATAGTTATTTCTCATAAAATATGCCATTGATGTTAGTAGGTAATGAGTTCATTATTATTATTTTTAAATGACTAAGTATTTTAAGTTTTCAAACTTTTAATTTCTAATGTGATAAATATCAATAGATATAACCCACATGAACAAAAGCTAGCTCTTTGGGGTTCTCAATAATATTTGAGAATATAGAGGGATCCTGAAACCAAAAAATTTAAGAAGCACTGTTCTAGAAAGAAAGGATATATACTTCATGTAATGGTAAAATTATAATAATTTTAATCTAAAACTTCAGATTATATTAAAATTTTTAACAAATTGAATGGGGGCAAGAAAAAAACTGAGTTAAATGATTTATTTCAAAAACACTAAACTCAAATGACATGGTTGCACATTTGATGCTATCAATTAGAGAAATATATATTAAATAATTAATTAGAAAATCTAAGTGTAACAGAGTCAAAATGAGACTGTAAGGCTCATAAAAGGATAACAGTAAATAAAACATACTGTTTTCTTAAGAAAATGAAGAGGCATAATATATAAGAAGTGCTAAAAAATTCACAAGCAAGAAGATATATGTCATTTAAAACAGATTAAATTACCATGTTAAAGTATAAATGGTCAAAATAGAATCTAACTACAAAAGACACAATGAAAATAAAGTGAAATTAAAAATGTTAAAAGTCAAGGAGCATCATGGTGGAGTGAGCTCTCCCTGTAAACTCTCCCCTCTAAGATACAATGGAAAGGATATTCATGTGCCAACAGAGGACATCCACACAACACAAAAGACATCTGAGAGACCCATGAAGCCATATGTCAGAAGGTGGAGGTGCTGCCCCCCCCCACAAGGAAGTGTAACAAGGTAAGAGAAATCTTCTCATCTTCCTGAAGTGCAGCAAACCAGGGATTGCACACAGCTCCGAGAGGAAAGGCGGGAGGAGGCAGCCCTCCATGGGAATGCCATCACTCTCCGAGGTCCCTCACAGCCAGGGGGGTCTTCATCAAGCTAACCCTCCAGGAGAACAGATAGCGAGGGCAGAGTGAGAAGCCCCCAAGATCACGCAGGAGAAAGAAAGCACCCCTCCCCACTGCCAGGCACCCCAGATCAGCAGCAGGGAGCTGAGCTGCAGATCACAGCAGGCTCAGAATACACAGTCTTGACCTCCACCCAGAGGTGGCGGTGGAAGCAGCAATCAAATACCACCACTATGCAGAAGCACAAATCCATGCTGTCTAGCAGTCTGAAAAAAAATGTATTAAATCTCAAGCCCAGAAGGAAAATGACAAGTACCCTGAAATCAACCCTGAAGGCACAGAAATCTATAATCTAAATGACAGAGAGTTCAAAATAGCTATCATAAAAAAACTCAAAGAGTTACAGGAAAATGCAGATAGATAGTTCAATGAATTCAGGAGCTACTTCACAAAAGAGATTGAAACTATAAAGAAGAACTAATTAGAAAGATTTGTGATGAAAAACACAATGGATGAGATGAAGAATATGGATTCCCTGAACAACAGAGCTGATATTATGGAGGAATGAATCAGTAGTATTGAGGACAGAAATACAGAAATGCTTCAGATGGAGGAGGAGAGAGAATTAAGACTAAAAAGAAATGAAGAAATTCTCCAAGATATATCCAACTCAATTAGGAAATGAAACATAAGGATTATAGGTATTCCAGAGGGAAAAGAGAAGAGAATGGAGCAGAAAGCTTGTTCAAAGAAATAATAGTGGAAAACATCCCAAACCTGGGGAAAGAGATGGAAATGCGAGTGAAAGAAGCAAAAAGATTGCCTAACTATATCAATGTAAAAAGACCTTCTCAAAGGCATATAGTAGTGAAACTGGCAAAAGTGAATGACA